GTTAAGATGTCATCATTCTTTAAGCTTTGTCCTATAAAACATACTTTTTGATGAATAAAAACAACTTTTTTCAAAGTAAAATAGTGTTTTAAAGAATAGTCTAACTGTTTTTGATGGATTGTAGCAGCATATAGTGTAAAATAGCTTTACGATGGAGGCGGTGTTATGTCTGTGATGAAAACCTATCACTGCTGACCTAAAAACAACCCTTACATTCATCTTAACAGGGGCGGTTTTCAAGGTTGTAGGTTTTAAGCTGAAGATTTTCAGTGGCCAAAAAAGCATGCTGTTTTTCAGTCTTTCGGAGATTAGGCAACACCAGTAGAAACTGTACTGCCTGTGAAGCCATTATGAAAACAGGGCATTTACAGCCTTAATTTCAGGTAAAGACTTCCATATCAAGTCATGCACAACTTGTCATATGAAGAATGCCATATACTGTATCTGTTAAAGGGTCCATGCCCTAAGGTCTATGTAGGAAAAACATCTTGTCAATTAAGAACAAGATTTTTAGAACATAAATTAGCTATTAGACATCTCCTGTTGTTCACCAATTTATAGAAAATAACAATTGTCAGCGAAGCTGTAAATACGTGTCCCAGAGAGAACCAAGAAACAGAGGAAACAGAGGAGGCAGAGAAAACGGCAGAAGTGGCTGGAGGAGAGAGAGAAATTATTATTAAAATGTTGTGGCAGAATGGTTAGAAAATTAAACTTTTAATAAGTAAGGATAATCATAATGATTTATGTGTGTGTTTTGTTTGAAATAATCAGTGAATGTGTAAGAATAAAATGTGAAATGATTGTATTGAAAGAATGGAGAGAAGTGATTTTACATCTAAAGGAGTGGCACACATCCCCGAACAGAGGAACTCCAAATGTTTGTGTATGCATGGAACACAGAGAAGAAACACACAAAATACTGAGGAAGTAATGACAATGAATGTTCCATCCACAGAAGTAAAGATTTGACTGATAATTAATGTTTTATCAATGTCTAATCAATGATAATCAATGTTTAAGTCAAGTAATGTATTCAAAATATAAAGATGTTTTGATTTTAAGGCATTGATAGTTTTGTGTAAAATCAGTGTGTAATTCTGATTGTTCTGTTTAAAGCAATGATGGAATTTTGATATATCAATCAGATGAGTTTCTTGTATCTTTATTAGGTATTAAGATGATTTTAGTTTTCTAGGAAAGAGGAAGTAGAGTCCGAAGCTGGATCACAGTGAGGTGGAGGCCGGTTACGGGCAGTAGACTTGAGCTGTGACAGTAAAAATATGCAATACTCCAGAAGAATATGACTGCACACCAAATAAGGTATTAACTGCAAACTGTGGCATCTGGTTGGACAAGAGGACAAAGACTACTGACCAGAATCCTACAAAAACCCAGGCAAAAAGAGGAACGAGGAGCTTTCACGACTGTGGCTGGAGGCTCTGTCCGGTTGACCGTCTGAGATGGATGTCAACGTGGGATGATAGAACTGTGGCAGAGCCTCAGTTCAGCAAAGAAAACTGAATTCTTGCTTAAAAGATGATTGAAGAAGAAATGAAGAATTTTAACAGAATGCCACAAGCCACCTGGCCTGGTGGGGAAAGATGGCTTGAAAAGAAAACCATTTTAGACATTTTCATGTCTTTATGTTTCTCAGAAGAAAGAAGATTTGACCAAGAAGAACATGATTTATCTGAAACTTTCCTATAATTCAGTCAAAATTGAACCAGAAGATAAGGAGATTTTCTTGATGACTTTTAATTTTTCAAATTATTAAGTTTCTCCTTGTGAAAGCTTGAATCATGACCAAAAGGAAAAAGAGGAACAAATGATTGCCCAACCTGTCGCCACCCCGCCCAGAGCCAGCTGAGGATCGGTGACGTGAGACCTTTGACTTTTATTTAGATCAAGAGCTTAGCTCAACCATAATAATTTTAATCAGTACAATATTTTAGAGTGATGTTTAGAAATAGCATTTGTTGATTATTTAGGTTGTAAGACAATCAAGATAATTATTGATGATTTTAAGGTTTATATTTTATTGCTTGCTGCTTTGCTGTAGCTCTGAAATGCTTCTATATAAAATTCCTGAAAAGGTTTAATACTCTGTGGTTATTGAGTCAAGTTTGATGTTATTGACATTCCTATGATTTTAGTGAGTTTGCACTTTTAAGAGGTAATGGTTAAGGCACACAGTTCTCAGTGTTTGCTTACCCAATTCCCAGTGAGTGTGATTACTTAATTCCTATTGAGTGTCTGAGGTTGCATAACTGTTACGTGTGAGCCAGCAGCAGGTGGGCATAGAGTAGTGGGGCTGCTGCATTGCAAAAAACTGACAAATGGGTAGAGCAGGAGCGGACCACGGAGACGAAGAAAGGTGAGCTCGGGACACACATGCATAGCACTATGGGTATGAACAAGCAGCGAATGAACAGAAAACAGGTGTACATGTACAGGACCGGACCAGGAGATAACGAGCAGCAGGTGAATGGCATGGTGACTGATTGTGGAGGCAGAACAGCAGGGAACAGGACCGGGGGATAAGGAGCAACAGGTGAGTGGAATGATGACTGATAGCGGTGACAGAGTAGTGGGGAGAGAACAGGTGAACAAACAAATACTGGAAGCCGAGCTACGCAACATCACAACAATAACAGTTCACAAGGTTGACAGTAGGCCAAGATTGAACTGCTAAAATGATTTTAGACAGTTACATCAGAAAAGGGTTTACTTGCTACATAATATACACTATTCCTTAAATATCCTATCCTAAATAACATCTTATGTCAACTAAATACTGTGCAAAACAGATATGGTCCTAAGTGTCCACTTACACAGCTTTCATTGGTTATTTCAGACAAAATTTAACACTTCCTCAAAGAGCCAGAGTATACTGGTTTATAAAAATTTCTCAGTACAGTAACATCTGAGAACATACTTCACAGGTTCATGGTAGTTAATTGCTGAGTGAATATCTCCATCATAAAACCTCAAGCAGTGTTTGGAGCTTTAATATGTTTCAAATATGCCACCTTAGTGTGAGAGGTTAAGCTTTATTTCTATGTCCAGGGGTTAGCATATTGTGGCCTTCATACACAGTTCAGTTTCCCAACATATGCCAGGGAGCCTACTGTCCTCTCTCTTCCTCTGTGCCTGTTTGATTTGTTTCTCTCTGGTGTCTGAGTCTACCAGGTGTGACAGTCTACTTTGTGCCCAGCTGGATGTGGTTGGCTGCTCAGCGCTCCTGCTGGCACAGCCGTCTCCACTCAGCAATCAAGCTCTGCTGTATTTAGACAGCAGCCCTGCTCCCCACATTTCGCCAGTTTGATCTGTGAGTTATGTGGTACACACATATGGCTACCACACTTACCTTGGATTATTTAGTAGATGTTTTTTTCCCACCCGTTTTCTCCCGCATTCCTGGCTCACCCGACCTTGCCACACCGACATTATCATCCAACCTTGTCACACCAAATCTGTCACCCAGCTTGCCAACCTGTGCTCCAGTGATCTTCACCTTGAGCTCCATGGATCAGACCTGCTTTGCCAACTGCTCTCCCACTCAACTCATTGTGATTGCGCAGCCAAAAGTTACGTGACTGCTCGACTCCCAGTCAGCCTTCGGTAAATCACTTCATTCATCCCAATGTCTGAGTCCTTGCTATTGGGTCACGGAACATCCTTTGGTAATGAAGACAGCCCTGTTTTAACAACATAAGTGTGCTGCTATAGAAAAACTATTGGATTTTTGCATTAAATGCCATGTTTCCTATTATCCTGAAGAATAAATAATAAATAACTAATGCTACTGGAGGCATGTCTGCTGGACCTTCTATAAGATATGAAAGATAACAAACTGACTTGTTACATCTTGTACCTCAATGCATGCGCTATATATCTACCTACTATGCATTCATCATATTATGACCATTTAGTACAATAATGTCAGAATACTGAATTACAACTACATTTGCAGTAAATATGAATTTCATTGCAACTGAACAAAGTATATCTCTAGTAATAGCATGTTTAAGCTGTGGAATCTGCTATCTGAGACTAAAACAAATTTCTTCTCACTTTGGAATGGCATGAATTAAATTTCTTTCAGTGTGCAAAGTATTGATGGGTGTAGTGGTAAAAACAAAAAATGTTGAGAAATGCAGAAGAATTCAATAGACTTTCTTTGGTGGTCTTAAGCATGCAGTTATTTCAGCTGAATGGTCATCACCAAAGTGCACAATGAATGACAATGAATCAAATGATACAATCTGTATAGGCACAGCAAACAGGCAATAGGGCATAGGGTGTGTAGACAAACTTGTGTGGCTAACAGTGATAACCATTGGTAAGATATGACTGTCTAGATGGCTTGTACAAAATATGTCCCACCCTGGATGCTAAACTTCAGGTTTTCACTTTCTATTGTAGAAGTCTGACCTTTATTTCTTAACGCATCACAAGTGTTGTCACCTCACCCCACTCCTGTACAAAAGTCACAATAAGAAAAGAACTAAGAATGCTGATTCACTGATTTAACTAAATAAATTAATACTGATTAAAAGAGACATTTATCCTTACAAAGTGTAACAATAAAGCACAGAGTTACTACAGAGTTACAAATACCTTGTTGAGTTTAGCACTATAAGTTCAGTAATTAATAACTTTTAAACTAAGAACTTTGTCTTTACAATAAGTATCTGGCTCAGATGTCAGATTTTAATACTCAAAGAAATGATGTAATACGTTCACTGGAAAATATTCTTTTCTTAATGGAGCAAACACCAGGTTTTTAATGTTCACTTTATGTTTTCTCCTGTATAGGGGCACTATAGCAAAAGAGTTCCTCCTGCAGGGAGAACAGTTTAAAATGTTTACAATAATGTGACATTTGGTGAAAGTATAGAAAAAAATGGAAAGCAAACAGAAATCACAGCTGATCATGTGAGACTGTCCCTCCATGTAATAGGAGATGATGTACTATTGTTGTGTTCAGTTTTGGAATAGAAATATGGAGGTGACTAAAAAGGCTGGTCATTGTCTCGTCACTAAACACAGACTGTGCTTATGGAATACTGCCTCTTGTGATGGTTTCCATCATTCCTCTTCTTGCAGTAGACATACAGAGCTGTGATGGGAATACAGCTGATTGACGATACCAGCAGTAGCCCAATGAACACTTGACCAAAAATGGGATACTCCATCACCACAGACCTACCCTGAGGGAGCAGGAGGTACAGTTAACACATTAGTTAATAACTCAGGTGGTGTTGCAAAATATAATCATTTGTGTAGCTTGTGTTGTGCAGTACTATTGCTTATTTTGACACAAAATTGGCTTCTTTTAAAGCTACGCTTACCACCTCATATCACAAAGGCAAGGCCAATTTTCATTACTTCATATGGCAGACATTTAAAATGTGTTGTTTTCCCTCTTTCCAGTTTTCTACAGGTTTTATCCAATGGAGATTGATATGTTTATCAAAGTTAGTTTTAGGAAAAAATAGATATTGATTTATTTGTAAAAATAAAATTTAAGTTTAATTTTAGTTAAATTAAAATTACATTTTTGTTTAATAAATAAATATAAAAAATCTGTATTTATATAACTTTGATATACATATCAGTTTGCATCAGAAAAAACCTGTAGAAAACTGGAAAGAGAAAAAACAATAAAGACCGCTGTTGAATTGTTGGATAACTAGCTGTTACTCAGTGTGGATGTTGGTCATTTGTGCATCCACATTTCCCTTATATGCTTCATATATCCCCTCCTGTTGAGGTTACTAGTATAGTAGCACTTCATCAGATCCAAGTTCTCATCTCTCATCCATAAGTGGTTTGTTACAGTAGTGTAGTGGTATGATTGCTGCTCTTTATATGGGAGACTGGAGTTCAAATCCCAGTTGTGGCTTATGTCCAGTAAGGGTCCTTAGACAAGACCTCATTATGTATCAGATGATGGGGAACCGGGACAAGCGGATGATAAGTGGGCTAATATAATACATCAGCAATATTAGTATTAATTTTTGGAACCCATGTTTGACATAATTCAATTTAAACCAGACACCTTGGGGCCAAGGCCGTGCATATTACCACCAACGCTTGGAAACAGAATACGCTTTCTTTCTTATTATTAATACTATTAGTAGTGATAATGATACTTTACATATTACTGCTATTTATAGTGTATTTATACATAAAATAATTAAATCTTTTTGTACACAAATTGTTCTCATTTAATTAAAATTTTTAATGTATATTATATGGTGATTGCACTGACAAAGCTAATAATAATGATCATTTATTGATTAACCCTTTTTCTTATTTATAATTACTACATTTAGTATCATCAGTATCAAAATACAACCAGCCCATGCCCCCCTTTGTCCTTTTTTCCCTCCTTTTCTAAATATCTATTTGTTGGAAAAAATTTTAAATCAATTTATTCAAGGATTCAAGATTTTTTTATCCAGAAAAAGATGTGGGCTTCATAAATAACTGAAAAATATTTTAGGGGAAACCTGGTCTGTTAGCAGAGACAACATCCATGCCACTTTGGATGATGCAGCTGTCGTATCTAGAAATCCAGACCAGTTTATTTTACAACCTAAATGATGACAACCCAGAGTCGAGTCCAGGACACAGGGTCGCAGTCTTACACGCCTCTCTGCATCTCTTTGCAGCTGCTACCCATCCAAAACTCCCATTACCCCATAGAGACTGTGTCTGCCCCCCAACCACCTAAATTATATAAATCAAAAATCTAGTCAAGAGGAGTTATTCATAAGAACCAAATTAAAATTAAGACTACTCTTCTTATAGAACAAAGTAACAGGACAATCAAATGTAGACTATTAAATATCAGATCTCTCTCATCTAAATCTGTGTTAGTGAATGATTTGATAAACGAACATCACATTGATTTATTGTGTCTTACTGAAACCTGGTTACAGCAGAAAGAACATGTCAGTCTAAATGAATCCACTCCACCTGGTCACAGTAACTGTCACATCCCTCGAAACACAGGCTGAGGAGGTGGAGGTGTGGCAGTGATCTTCAACTCAAGCATATTACTCAACCCGAGACCCGAACATAATTACAGTGGAACCTTGGATTGTGAGTAACCAGGTTTGTGAGTGTTTTGCAAGACAAGCAAAAAATTTTGATTCAATATATGAGCGAGGTCTCGCAATATGAGTAGTATGTACACTTTGTCTGCCAAGCATCATGTGACGTACGTCACAACTGAGCCGATGGTTCTCACGCGTCACTCGTTTAGTCAACATCTGTACTGCAACAATGGCCCCTCACACCAGCCACGATTCTTTTCAAAGGTAAAGTGCAGGTTAATTTGTTTTATTTTTACTTTATACTGTATTTTGTATTACTGTAATCATTTTTATATGGATAAGTGGGTGTGGAAC